CAGCTTGTCCTTTTTGATCGCAGACACTTCACTACCTGGTCAGAACTCTCCGTTGTTTCCTGGTGCACGCAGAGTGAAACCCAACTTAGCGTGACCTCCCAAGCTGCTGGAGTGGCCCTCTCGCCTCCCTCCCGCCCTCCCTGCTGTGTGCTCGCATGGGCTCCAGCCTTGCTGGGCTTCCCTCTGCTCCTCACGCCCTGGAGTTTGTTTCCACCTCCCATCCGGAGGGCCAGTCCCCCACGCTTTCTCAATGATTGACTGCTTCTCACTCTTAGGACTCGATTCAAAGACCCCTTCTTAGAGGGGCTCTGAAGGCACCCACTCCAAGTCACATGTGACAGCGTCCTGTCTCCACAGAAGCAGGAAGTGTCCCCGTGTGCATGCTGGCCCGCACGCAAGGTCAAAGAGCGCTCTCCCGTTGCCAGCACGGTTCCAGTTCTCAGAAAGTGCGTGTTGAGTGAATAATGAACAAGAGGGAGGGAAATGAAGGAAGAGGGAATTCCCGGTAGACGTCAGGGACTCTTCCCTGGCAAGCACAGCTCCTGGGCGCCACCTGCTGTCATGTGCAGGGGCACCCCAACCTTCCAGGTGACCTGTCTGGACTGTGGCCCGCTCTCCTAGTGACGCTGAGTCCTGCCGGGTGGGGTGCCCACTCACCCAGGTCCACGTTGCGGGTCCGGGGGTTGCACTGCTTGTGACCCTTGCAGCCCCGCAGCTCCATGAGCTGCACGTGCAGCTGGTTGAGGACGTCCCTGTCCAGCGTGCTCACCGCGTTCATCAGCTGGGTGGGGAAAGGGGGTCGGTGAGGCGAGTACGGGCGACCCCAGTCCTTTCCTACCGCTGGGGCTTGTTTCAGGCATGGTGGAAGCAGAAGGAACCATGGGGTGTGGTCTGCACACCCCAGCTCCACTTCTGCCAGAGCCAGGGTTGGAAACTAGGCTGCCCCTTGGCTTCTAGCTCTACTTGAAACTCTCTCAGTGAGAATGCGTGGTGGTTGAGGGTGCTGGATTCCCAGATGACTGGCAGTGGTTCGAGTCTTGGACCTGGGGGCTTGCTATCTCACTTTCCCTTTCTCTCTCTCTTTCTGGTCAAATGAAAAAAAAAATAGAATTAAATATTTCTTTTGAAAAATTTTAAGAATTATTTTGATTTAACCGTATTTGTTTATTTTAATTTGACCAGAGTGGGATAGAGAGAGAGAGAGAAAGTGAGAAGGGAAGCTGCCAGGTCTGAGACATGACCCGTGGTCGGCCACGTGGGAGTCCAGCACCCTTAACCACCACACCCCCTGCCAGTCCCAAACAATTCTTTAAAACAAAGGAAAGAATAAGCGTGTGTCTGGGAACTTGGTGGTGTGCTCTCAAGCCGCTGGTCAGGAAACTAACCCTGGTTTGGGAGGAAGCCCTTTCAAGCCTTGGGTTTGCTGCCTTCACTTGCAGGTCTTCGGTTCCTCTGCTGGAACGCAGCCGTTTGGTGAAAGGATGGGAAAGTGCCCTGGGGTGGGCCAGTCGGAGTTATTGGTGACTGGTACTGGTGAACCCACAGCCTCTGCCACCCCCTCTGGCAAAATACGGGACAAACCTTCGCCTTCTACAGGTTTGCCAGGGGGCACGTGTACCGTGAGCATGGGAGAGCGAGCCCCCAAATGGGGTGTGCTCACGCTGTAATCCCTTTTTCATCTCTCTACCTTGTTGGGATTTGGGGCACATGCACCCGATAGGTTTTTCAAGCTGCAGGGGCTGGGACTTGAACTGCAGTTGGCCACGGGACCCGGCCCCCTTAATCACAGGCTGTGAGGCTGGTATTGGGCACAAACCTTTCTGAGGAACAAGACTGGCAGCCTATATGGTAATGGAAACAGAGCAATTGAACTGACATTTTAAAACCGAATTCCATGTAAATTATTTCAGGCTTTTGTAAAGATGTTGAAGGCTGGACGAGGCCAAGGTCATGCTATGGAAAAGCCACTGCTGAGGTGCAGTCGTGACGGCCCCTTGGAGGCTTGCGTGTTGCCACGAGCAGACATACCGCTGTGCTGTGTAGACAATTTAATGCGTGGAATCACTGAGCCAGGTGCTTGGCCCATGAGTGCTGCCTGAGTGCTAGCATCGTGTCATCTGCGTGGTCCCTGCAGCTCTGAGTGTAGCCCGCAAATTCTAGAATCTTCACAAGATCTACACAGGCTGGCTGAACGCAGCCCTGGGCCCACGTTAGAGGGAAGTGGGGTTCGGCACAGGAGGTGGGGAGGGCTGACAACGTTGAGTGGCTGAATTCTCCGTGGCTTGATGACTCACTCTTACTCTCCGGGGACTCAAAGGGACTTGGAAAGCTTGTCGTTACTCCCCTAGGGGTAGGGGCCACCTGGCAGCTCCTGTGTCCCGCACACCCCCATTTCTCCAGCTGGAGCTCTCCATACCTGGTAGGGGTCTGTGTTGAGATCAAAGTACTCCAGGAAGCCGGTTGCAAATTCACAGAAGAGGAAATTGTGGGTCTCGTTGATTGTCCTCATGCACCAGTATGTGTTGTTGTTGGCGCTGGTGCAAGCACAGAAAGGCCCCACTGCCGGGAGAGGAGCCTGCCCTGAGCCTGAGCACCTGCAGGACGCAGCCCAGGCTGCCCGGTGATCCTGTCGGGGACGGCCCCTGAGCCACTTCCTTTGATGGTGAGGGACAGCCTGGAGGCTGTGGGTCCCTGGCGTTGGGGCCCCCTCGTGTGAGACCTCTGGGATGCTGCAACGAAGCCCTCAGAGGCTCGGAGCACGGTGGGTCACCAGGCGTGCTGGAAGAACTCCCTCGGCTCCCTGGGCCCAGCCCGCCCACCCTGCCTGGGGGCCTGCTCGGCTCGCTCACGTGTCCAGAGAGGCGCCGTCTGCCAGTGCTGGTTGTCGTGGGTGAAGCACGTGAGGCCTGGCATGCTGCACGTGTCGTTGTTCTGCAGACGCTTGAGCAGCTTCGGGGGTTTTTTTTT